ATAAAGCAGAATATTTGTAGCTCAGGGTTGAACTGAGGAATCCTTGGTCCTCTATGAGCTTGGTTGCTTTCTTGCAGAAGTTTCATTACCCAAACTATGTAACATCATCAATGCTAGGCCTAGTTTGGGTAATGAAATGTCTGCAACAAGCAACCAAGGTGAGAGAGCACCAAGGACTCCTCAAATCACATTCATTCAGTACCCATTAATTTTGGATTCCATTTCTTTTCATATTACTATAAATATTTCTTAATATCTTAACTCCACTGAACTCAAATTACTTTTATGTTCCTCCTGATATATGCAATATTCAGTTCCATCCCAAATGATCCAAGGATTCATTTTTCTCAACATACCACATATCTTTCTACTAGCATTTGCATGAACCCAAAGTGCATAATTTACTCTATTTTTTCTGCTTCTTCACATTTAACGTAATTTGCAATAATATACTCATTTTTATTGCCAAACACAACTGCCTCAATCTTTTATACATTAATGGTCCAATCCATATTCCTCATTGCATAATACAGTGCATATAACATTTTCAGCAATTCATTTGGGTACTCAAACAAAATCACAGCATTGTCTAGAGTGCATGCATATTTCTGTTTCAACATACACAGTTCTAATGTCACCATAAACATCTCTTATACCTTTATCCTTACAGACATTAAACAATATTGTGTTATTCCAAGCTCAGTTATAATTGATACATTAAGCTTTCCATGTCAATTCCATCATATAGTACTCATAGAGCATTCAGCAATCCAACTTCAATTCCATATTATATAAACCAACAAGCTTAATAAACTTTCTGAACTTTCTAAATTTTTGTTCATTATTACCACTGATACTTTCTCAATCAAAATTTTGCAAACATCTGCTCAGGCACATTTAATATACCAATGCCCCTATGGTTTTGCATTTATTCCTACTATAAGTGCATTCAGTGAGCTGTCAGATTCAGTCTTCATACACACATTAACTATGTTGTACAGCCATTCTATAAACAAGCAACATCCATATTTTAACAATTCCCTGGTTACAGCTGCAGCCTCACCAATTTTCAGTTGTCACAGCATTTATGACTTACTTTTAATCAGTTTCTTTTAGATATTCACATTTATTCCATTTGTTTTGATTCCACTATTTGATATGTCGCTATCAATCCCATACAGATCATTAAAATAATATTTCTATTATTCCCACACTCAAGTTTAACCTCAAATCATTTTATCACATTCATTTTTAATTCTTATTACTTGGTTAAAAGTTCCTTGTTCAGCTTTTTCTAGCCATTTTCAAAATCTTTTTTAAAAAATCTGTTTCCCTCTTTTAATCTTAAATCTTCCTTTCCTTTTTGACTACCCATTTTTAATTATTTTCCTAAACATTGTGCAATATCTTTCTTTAACTACACATGATGTTGGTCTAAATGCTGGTCTATTCCATCTTTAGAATTTCCAGTTACCCTTGTATTCTTCACTAATTCAATCTTCCAGTTTAAGGAAGTAGAAGCCATGCTTTTTTAATCATTCATTTTTCATGTATACATGTAAATAGATTTAAACCATGTATCTGAGGTGTGATTGCCTATCCTTTAATTCATAGAATATGATAGCACTTTTGGTATTTTTCCAAAGGAGGAGTTGGAGTTGAATGACCTAGAAATTTCATAAACAATTTACAGTAAACAAGCTGGGTGACTACAAAGGTTACAATTTTCATGCCCTTTCAAAATCATGTTGAACCTTATCTAGAGCCTCCTAATTAGAGTGGTGAGAGATTATTTACAAAAATAGCCTCTAGCACGTCCTGTAGTTCACTTTCCTTCAGGGATTCCATATTAACCTTGCATATTTTTTATGTTTGTTTCTCAACAGATAGTTGTATTTCAAGTTAAATATTGGAATTTTTTTAAAAAAATAAAATTAAGGGGACTTATTTGAGATGGAAAATCATTATTTGAAAGAACTTTGCCTGGCAGTATGCCAATTTAAAAGAATGAAAATGGCATGATAGGACACTTGTTCATAGGCACAATGTGTCAGAGTTACTTTTGGAGTCACAAATTCTCAGAGCAAAGATGTCACTTGCAGCCACAATTAATCATTCTGCGCCCCAATCCATGAAAAAGACATATAATTTTACATGGAGAGATGCAACTGCAATAAACCTGTCCAGTTATTATAAGTACAGCAAAAAACACAGCTGTTCTTATTAATGGCAAAACTGTTACATTGGATGGAAAAGTATTTGATAACAACTCAAATAACCTACTTTGTTTAAAGAGCAATGGTATATCATAGTCTGTGTATCTGAAATTCTTCTATAACCTCACATCTCCTCTGCTTAATAACAGCAAAATTAAACTAAGCTTCTTCTAAAGATGAGACTCTGGGGAATCCCAGAAAACAAAAGAGCAGGAGTTTCAATTCTCTCTTCTTGCTGAGAATAGATTCTGCCTCATATAGCTGCTGATGTATAGTCATCTTAAAAGAGTTGGTTAATTTCCAATGGGAAAAGGCATAAAAGAAGAATCTCCTTATCTTTAATGGAATGTTACTGAACTATACAAAATGGCTCACATTCAAAATAAGTAGAGAAAAGTCTTGTCTGTTTTGCCATGATAAGAAACCATGTTTAATATACAGCATGCATTCTACTCAATCTGCTAAATATGAGAACTCTTTAAAGTCAGAGACAGGGAAGCTCCCAGATGTTTTGTAGCACTATTTGCTAAACAATAAAATTAAAAATTAAAAAAAAACAGTGTCTCTAACTCTAATTGTATTTAATGTTGTCATTCAAACCTAAGAGTTATTTCCACTAAATCTGGGAATGCAAGAAAATTCATGACATTTCAAAGCATTCTACGTATTGGTGAAACTTGAAGGTAATGCACAAGCTTTCATTTTTAATGCACTCTTCCTTTGCTTCTTCTAGCCACATGAAGATCAAAAGCATCCTCTTTTTTTTTAACTAATCATGGTTTGTCAACACATTATTTGGTTAATGTTAGTAATAGCTTATTAAAATCAGCCAACTCAAAGTCTGACAATATTAAACCAGCTAATAACATTTATGACACAGTAAAATAGATATTTTAAAATGCAAATTAAAAATAGCAATAAAATTTAAATTGCTAACAACTGCATAACTGAGCCACTATGTGAATAATTCCCCAAACACATTCAGGAAATCATCCAGATCCATCAAACCATTTTAATCAGTCCTAACATTGTAGAAGTTTATATTGGTCTTCAGTATAAAACTGACAAAAGAGTAACCTTCCCTTAAGACAAGGCTTCTTAAACACTCCCTTCCTGGAAATCAAGCAGGACAAAAAACTTATGGAAATCCAATTGCATTACCTATGTTTACCTCAGCTATCTTAGAAAGCGAGTATTAGGCAGCAGGGTGAAACACCATTTCAGTTACTTCTACTTCTAATATATAGAGAAGCATTGCTAGTAATTTCTCTGCATTCATGTTGAAATAAAAACCCTACATCTATTACCCAACTCCCTTTTAACTACTAGATGGTAGGATAGGAAAAAAGAAACAATAAACTTTTGTAGTATTAACCTTTCAGCTAAACAGCATGTTTTCCAAATTGGCAAAGTACAATATGGGGCACTCAGGTAGACCTCTTTGCCCTTCAAATCTAGACTGCCACCCCACAAAATTGGCAGAAATAAACTGCTTTCTTTTCCAGCACCCAGGCTCTGTAATACATGGACTGTCAGGATTTTTATCCAGAATTACATCATATGAAATACATATAAATTTAGTAAATAAATAAACCAACCTGACATTAAAATACCAATTTCAGGTTAAAGGGGCCACCCTTTAAAGTTCTTTAAAGTTCTCCTGCTTGAACAGGGGGCTGGACTGCAGCATCTAGTCAGAGAAGGATGTTCCAGTGGTCAAAGGGATTTAAGTTACAAGATTTATCCCTATTTGAATGTCTATGAATATTTCCAGTCATCCAGGTCATAGTTATATCAAAAGTGGTTTTTATTTTTTGAAAATAAAATAAAATGTATCAGCCAGTTGCCTTTTCAAAAAATAAAAACCACTTTTGATATATCCCTATTTGATTGTTCCTTCTTCTGAAAGCATGGCCGAATACAAATGTTCTCTTCCTGAAAAAAACTCAACTCCATTTTTGAAATTTTCTTTACATATCAAGTTAGGCTTTTTATTTTTTTTTAATCCCCAATATTGCATTTGTTCACATTCTTCAACAAAAGCAATCAGGCAAAAATCAGCCATAGGCATAGTTTTGATTCACCAGTTCAATCATACCGATTTCTAATACATGGGAAGCCTTGCAGTTGTTTCCTTATATTTTCTTTGCATTTCTTTTGAGATGCTTACATCTATAACCAAACTCCCTTTAGACAACTAGTTAGGAAAACATGAAAAAGAATAAAGGCAATTATGTGTTAAAGAAGAAAACACAAATATGCATCATAATTCTATACCTTTAAATTTTAGAGCAGAACATCCATTTTCTCCTTTCAACCCAAAATAGAATTTCACTAACAATATTAGGAGAATAGTTATAATGGAGTATTTGAAAATGTAGTTTTCTTTCCTAAATAAGATCTAAGGAAAGGACAAATAGCATAAACTATGAGCTAACATCCTTGAGTTGGCTGAAAGGAGATCAATTCCCTTTCAGGAAGAGGTCAATTTAGAGAAACAAAACACTTTTCAACTCATGCATCATCTTGATAAAAAAGTATAATTTACTCAATACCCCGTTCCTCCAAAACCATCTTGAAGCTAGCACAGTAAATTCTATACCTCCGGAACCAAGATGAGATGGAAGATTAATAAGAAACTAAATAGGGACGCCTCTCCCTTCCTGTTCTGGACAAAACAACTAACAGGATAATACATTCCTAAAAATTTATTGTATGCAATGCTATACAATCCTAATATGTCATACATGAATATGCAGTTTTAATACAAGACAAGGAACTCACCAATAAAATCGGTTTGGTGTGATCCGTTCATGCATGATCTGCCATCTCCTTCCAAAATCCATAGAACTGTACAGCTGAAAGATATTAAGAACCAAATTAATCGAAACTGTAACTATGACAAACATAGTGTTAGTCCGCTGTAATAAAGGCAAGGACATATTTTACTGTACTTTAGCTAAATAGCTGTACCTAAATGACCTTGGCTGATTTTCAAAAGATTAAGTAGTGTTGTAGAATTGAATGGTAGACCAGAATTTTTTTAAAAAATCAAGCAAATAAATCAAGAATGATGGTGGTGGGTAGTGGTGGGTATAATGGACAGATAGTTTTTTCTTCCTAATGTTTTCACAGAAGTTCAGTAGTACTGGCTGGCTTGTCACCCAAGCCTGACATCATGGGCTGAGAGAGAGAGTGACTGACCCAAAGTTACTCAGTCAGCTTTCATGCCTCAGGCAGGACTAGAATTCATAGTCTCTTGGTTTTTACCTTGCAGCCTTAACTACTAAGCCAAACTGGCAAGAATAAATCTGCCATTTTCTTGCCATTTAATAACAGGCTGGAAGTTGCACTTGGATAATGTCGAAAGAAATTTTCCACTGAACTTCTTTTCTGGAAAAAATTCCACTGCAGGGGTCAAACAGTATTTATATATATTTGAAATTTAATGATAAAGGTATTCAGATATTGTATTTATAGCTCTCATTATTATAACTGATAGTGAGGCAAATTGTTTTAAAAATTTATTACTATGTTCAGTGTTGATAATCAACTCCCAATTTCATTAAATAAAATCCTGCTGATGTTCTGAATTCTATGTCCTATTCATCTCATCTGGTGTGAAACCACACTGATATTAAACTATAAGTACTCAGTTTTTTCAGGCCAAAGAAAGAAAGCAGTGTCAGCTATCAGAAAAAGTATTAAAGTAAAATTAGCTATAAATGTAATCAGAAAAAGAATATTACCAGGAAACAATATAAAATCTGGACCCAAAACTAGAAAGTTAGAATGACTATCTTACTGGAAGTACTTGCATTGTAGGGCCGCTCTACAATTAGGCACAGTAAGACAAATATTATATCATCAAAGATACTTTCTTTTAATTCCCTGTATAGATACTTCTGGAATTTTCTGTTTTATATATCAGATGTTGATATTAACGACTTTTACTAGCTAGTGCAGTGCCCTGGACCAGCCTTATAGTCTTGGTTATAATACTCTTCTGAGGAAATCATAATTACTAATCATAATTAGGAATTAAACCTTTGCTTCTGTTTCCAGTTGGATGGGAAGTTGTTTCATTGCTTTCAAGCATGGTGAAAGAACTTAGTCAATATGTTTGAATTTATCCTGCATTTATTTTGAATGGGGTTTTAGCTTATTTGTTTAAAATGTTAATACATTTTGGATATACAGTAAACAGTGATATATTTGACGTAAGTTTCTTTTGTTGCTGAAGGTATGATACAATTGTGTTTTAACGACTTTTCAAATATATTTTTAATTCTATTCTTATTGTTAGATGTTAGCTGGAAATGTGATATATAAGCTTTAAAAGTAAAGTAAAATAAGATACAAGTTATACTATATCTGGGAATATGCCAATATTATTCTAACAGAATAGATGCTATTTATAATGTGTGAAAGAAGGAACACACAAGTAGAAATGGCAGAAAAACAAAACATAAGTTTATAGCCTCCATGGCAACACTGCTGCTGAAAAATTGAACACTCTGACAGCGATTAAACATCACAACATATCAGAGAATGCCAGAATGTCTCTATAGTCTTAGCTAAAAGCACCCCCCCTCCAACCTTCCATCCTTCTTAAAGGCACACATTTAAATTCCATTATGTACTTTCCAAGCATGTTTTATTAAAATAACAACCAAAGGAAAACAAGGAGAAGGCACAGCATCCCCCAAAACACTGACAACATTATGGAATATACATCCAGTTTTTCTGTGATAATGTAGTTGTCATCTAGCCAAGCAAAGCAGTGTTTGAGGAAAAACTAAACACCCATAGTTTCCTTGTCCCAGTGTGCAGACACCGCATTCAGCAAATAAATTACTAAATAAGCATTCTTGAAAAGGTGAAATTTCAGAAAGAGATCTAGCTATGTAGGTGTGTATAGATAAGGCTTACCCCACTTTTTCTTTCTTCAAATTATTTTATAGATTAAAGTTAGATTAATAAATCAGAATAAAAATAGTTATATTACAGTAAAGTATGCATAATGTAATTAAAATAAACTTGAAAATGTGGCAAATAAAGTGACTGCAGAATCAGGTTCAGTGCCCCTTGAAACCAGCAAATGTGAAATGCAAATCATTCAACCTATTGAAAACACTTACACAAACACACAATACATACCCTATAATTGAAACATGCAGCCCATGACTGAATTTAAAGGAATGGTGCCATAGCAATTCTCCTGCATCAGTTGGATAAGCCTCATTCTCTGAGTATCCTAAATGGTCCACAAGGAGCATCATGCCTAACAGCATGTCCAGACTGAAATACCTAAAGCCATCTTCAGGATGACTTATACTAGAGATAATATCTGGAGGAATGACCTTGGCATATGATTGTAGCAAATAGGCTTCCAGAAAGTTGAAAGTAAGAACTGTTCAAGAAATGCACAACCACGTTGACTTCTACTTATCTTGAAAAAAAAGCCCATCATATAGAATTAATCTATAAATTATAAATTATAAAAATTGCAAATCCACAAAGCTAATACCCTTGTTACCTAAATTTGCTAATAATATTAAAAACTAAATAGCCCTGCCATCTAACTTTAATAACCTCACTATGGCTTCCAAGAACTACAACTGCCCAACCTCAATTTCAATTGTTATTGAATAAGGAAGGTGGGTATACGTTTGGGCCAAAATGTTCAAAAACTCACCCAAATAAAAATAATAGTTAGAGTCAAGACAGAGCAAATTCAGAGGGTGAATGCTATGGTCAAAAATATCTTGCTCAAAAGGAAAAGGATGGTGAATGCTTAGCCTTGTGTGGAAGGGAAAAATATAATGATATTTTGGGTCCAAATAACTTAAACCTTTAAAAATCAATATTAATGCTTCAGATTTTCCACAAGCAAATTTTTCCAAAAAAGTATGATTGGGTAGTTTGGGACAGTGGTGAAATCCATTTTTTTTTACTACCAGTTCTGTGGGTGTGGCTTGGTGGGCATGGTGTGGCTTGGTGGGTGTGGCTTGGTGGGTGTGGCAGGGGAAAGATACTGCAAAATCTCCATTCCCACCCCACTCCAGGGGAAGGATACTGCAAAATCCCCATTCTCTCCCCACCCCTGGGCGAAGGATATTGCAAAAATTCCATTCCCACCCCATTCTGGGGCCAGCCAGAGGTGGCATTTGCCGTTTCTCCAAACTACTCAAAATTTCCACTGCCAGTTCTCTGAACTGCTCAAAATTTCCGCTACCGGTTCTCCAGAACCTGTCAGAACCTGTTGGATTTCATCCCTGGTTTAAGGTATGTTAAATGTAAAGAATATACTTCTATCCATTCAGAGTTCTTCATGTATCTCTGGAAAGAACCAACCAATTGTTGTGGTATGTGAATTCTGAGACTTAAGGGGTCAGTATAACATTTGACAATCATGTGTTACACAACTCAAGTCTTCTTTTCTACCAAGAACTAGAGCAAATGCATTTTATTTGAGTTGAGTTTTTTTCCATTAAAAAAAAAAAGTTTCCTGTTATGAAGCACTAACCCTTTTATGGGAGTTAACCATGTGTCCTTCAGTTACACAACTTGTTCAAAAGCATCCTATCTATCATTGTGGGAACTCAACAATTCTGGGGGTGGTGAAGGAGGATTTTTTTTAAAATAAATAAATAAATTTTGATTTCAGGATGATTCATGGTAGAAGGATTAAACTGTAGTTGTAGTTTTTAGATGGATTTACAGAAAGAGTTAAGGAGGAGATTTGTTTGATAGCACTGGACTTCTTTCCTTCCTTTCTAGCAGTCATCTATCAATTCCTATGGAAATTAGATAATCAAGAAAAACAGCTGTTGTACTCTGGTATTCTTAAGAGGAAGAGGAAGAAGCTTCCTTTAGTCCCCTTTGGTTCAACACAGTCTGCACACTATTAATCATGCATGCAAACCGAAAGGTCAATTACGCATTATTTAAAGTAAACCCATAAATGAAAGGGTTCTTTGAGCATAAAAGTGGCATGCCCTTGCTTGTAGGACCCAGAGGAGATGTCAAATGCAGCCAAGAGAAATAAAGTCATTTGCAATCAGTTGCTATGCAGGGTGAAGGAAAGCAAGCTCATTTATTGTGATTTGTGCATATCATTTTGATATGAACTTTTTCTGGTATCTTTCAAGATGACATTACAAATAGTATATCATTTCAGGGATCGAATATGCAGATTTTTACATGTGCATAGACACACTACCACATGGAATAGCATATGCTACTATAGCAGCATTTTTCTTTTCAGCTCTATATACTGTCATCTTCCTATGTTCAGTCCTAGGAAGAAATAAGAAACTACTAAAAAATAGATTTCCAGTTCAAGGAAATGTATTATGCCACCACACTGGGAAATGCTTATATTAATTCCCATTACAGAAATATATATTCTTTGCAATTGTATTAAGAAAATATGTAGTTCAGCCTTTTCATTGGACTGCAAAATTTTATAATAAAAATAGAATGGAACATATTGTAAATATAACATATCCAGAATAAGTAGTACAGTACAATATAGTACCCATTAATGGTATTAATACTTGGTAAGGGTAATACTTGGTAAATAGAATAATGAGATGATTTGGCAATTTAATTGAGATGATTGATGAAAGTAGAGGTTATATTTCCAGTATTCAGACTCCATTTATTGTAACTGGGGTTTGGAAAAGGGAACTTTAAAAAAATATACAGGTTTTGAACTTACAGTTTCTGGTAATCAGAAAGAAAACTATTCATAAAGACGTTTTTTTTTAAAAAAAAAATTGGCAGTGATTAAAGGTTATCATGACAAGTTGTTCAAAATACTTTGTTTTTATTGTATATTAAACAAGATTAT